GGAGCCCTTCAGGGGACAGGCCTACTCTACCATCTACTAACTGTTAGCTGCTATAGGAAACCCTCCCAGCTTGGTTCCAGTAATCCATACAGATTGAGAATTTCCTCTTCGTGTGGTAATGGAGTGGAACAAAAATGGGTGGCTGCCTGTATGAACTTTCAGAGTTTCTCAGGATGCTTCTAAGCATGGACCTTCTTGTCCATTGCTGGGGAAAGAAGGCCACACCTGTGGGAAATAAAGGGAACGAGGAAAAAGCTACCTTATGTGCCATCTCCTGAGCCATGTGCCTCTGCAACTGCTGAAGCTGTTCTGTGGAATCACAGCAGAGCTGGTGGTAAGTTTCTTTGAGAGCGTCCAGCTGGACTGAAATCTGCCCCTTCTCCTGGTCTGAAAGCCTGCAGCATGGGAAGAAAGACAGCTTGGAACAGAAACACAGCCAGTGGGCAGCCAGGAAGCAGCAGCAACTGAGGGAGATTCTGCATTCCCATACACAAAGTTGCCCATGCAAATGGTCAGCCTGGCCAAACCTCTTGGACATCAATGAACCACATCTTTCCAAAGCCTCAAGTGTGAATGGTGGGTGGCTAGTATAACTACGATGGGGACGCGGTGGCTTAGTGGCTAAGATGCTGAGCTTGTCGAACAGAAAGGTCGGCAGTTTGGCGGTTCGTATCCCTAGCGCCACCTGACGGAGTGAGCTCCCGTTCCTTGTCCCAGCTTCTGCCAACCTAGCAGTTCGAAAGCACGTAAAAAATGGAAGTAGAAAAATAGGGACCCCTTTGGTGAGAAGGGAACAGCATTCCATGTGCCTTCAGCATTTAATCCTGCCGGCCACATGACCACAGAGATAGCGCTGGCTCTTCGGCTTTGTAATGGAGATGAGCACTGCCCCCTACAGCTGGAAACGACTAGCACGCATGTGCAAGGGGAACCTTTACCTTTAGTATAACTACTCTACTGTATTTGCAGAAATAATTGACAATTTGTGTTTATTTAATATGTTAACATTGATACCACTTCCTATATCCAAGATGTGACTGGGATATAGGAAGATGGAATAACTTACTAAGGTAGCAATGCCCAACCTCTTTCTCTAAGTGGTTCACTACCACCACTATCAAGATCTTCTGGAGACCTTCAAATGGAATAAAAATCCATAGGGGATGATAAAAAGAAGTCAAGACCAAAGTCCATATGGTTTTATGGGTGTTGACGGCATCGATGCAAACACCATCATGACTTGTTTTACCACACATGCAGATGTCCTGGAGAGGCCCTAAGAATGGAGTGGCCTAAAGCCCCCAAGTGCCTCTCCTGCATCAGGATCTTCCAGGGGACATTTTTCAGGATTTTCTTTTTCCTGGCCAGAAATGGCCCATTTCCAAACTTGATCTTATTCCACTAAGTTTTTGGAGAGTTATTCTGCTGAGATATATAGTCAGGATACCCTGTACATAATTCCTTTCCCAGAAAAAGGTGAAAAATTGTGAGATTTCCACTAAAAATGAAAATAACTTGTACAATTTGGTGATTGCCAAAATTTCATTAAAATTATTCTGGAGTCTCCTTTTCAGGCTTCCTGCAATCCAACTTTCTAGATTCATGTTATTTTCTCAACTTACTTGTTGTTATGCTTTGCAAGAAATATTTGAGTAGTTTTTATAGCTTCTGAGACTTCCTCCTTCTTTGCAGCCAACTCTTCATTCAGGCCCTGACGGGAAAAAAGAGAAGGGAAAGTTCAAATGATACATTCCACACACACACACACACACACACACCCAAAAAAATGAGCACAAGAAAGAAGAAGCTCAGATAGAGGAAACATCAGTTAAGTAAGACTGATGTGACACGGGCCGTGGTCTACAAGGAGAAAGAAATATAAAAGGAAAGGTAAGTCCTCAACCCATGCAGGCACCTGCTGGTCCAAAATGGACTTCTCAATATCTCCCAGCATTTTCCTCTTTGTGGGTGAGATGCTTCTGAATGGTGGATTCTGCTTGAAGCTTGTGACCCAGCGCAGGAGTTCTTTCACCTTGTCCATGTGTTCCTGCTTCTCTTCTTCTACAACTTTCTGCAAAAAATGAAATCAAACAACATGGAAGGTTGATACATAATATATCCACCAATGCCACTGACACCCACAATGCTTCTTTCGGGCATATCAAGGTCAAACTGCATGGGATCAGTGTGCTAGAATCATAATGCAGTTGATGTCCTCTTCTAAGGTGAGTGAATGCAAACCTGCCTGGGGGCTTCCCAGGGTATAAGGAGAAGGGCTGAGGGGCACAGGACAATGTTGAAACTGAAATGAATTACCAGGCCCAGGTCCAGTGTGTCGGGAAAGGTGAAACAATGCACAAAGATGACCTGAAACTAAAAGTCTTTGAATGCCAAGAGTGCACAGTTAAGGTGCTAAGGTCCGTTGTCCTGGCTGCTAAGCCGACCAGCCTGGAGGATATAGAGCTGGGTCCTCCCCTTGTGGGACCAACGTCCAGAGGAGGAGCCCAGACCTCCATTTAGTGAGAAGTGCCGAGACCAGAATTTCTTCAAGGCCCTCCGCTCTACACTAATATGCTTCTGTTGGTGGTGAGATCCTGATACTTCCTTAGGAAGGGTACCCAACCTCTCATGATCTTATGAGATAAAACCTGGTGCAAGATTCCAGAGGACCAAACTAGATTCACAAGACAAATATCAGATTACACAAATTCTGTCCTTACTTCTTCCTCTTCCAGGCGCCGGAGAGCATCACTTATGTACTTCACATGTTGTGTAGTCAATGTGACCAAGGCTGTATAGTGTGTCCGTAAATCCATGAACTACAAGGTACGAGAAGCAAAATATGAATGAATAAAATTGTCAAATGATTGAATAATAATGATACTAGGGTATTTAATCTCTGATTGAGAATATGAGTTATTATACTATGTAACTGTAATTGATGACTATGAAATGGATGCACAAAAACATTGTAAACCAACCGACACACTGCTTGTATATTCATGGAAGAAAGGTTGATGTTTTTATGTTTTGTTTGTTTATGTTTGTGTTTAAAAAAATCAATAATTTTTTTTTTAAAAAGGTACGAGAAGCACAAGGAACAGACCCATTTAAGCCAACAACAATGAAACACAAAGTAAAATGGTTCTCATTTGCAGAAAGTTCTCCTTCTCCGCAAAAACCAAAGGAGAAACCTCAGAAGCAAGATATTCCCCACAAAAAGAAACAAAAAGGGAGGCAAAAAGGAGGGGATGATTCACAACCAATCTCGGGGATGAGTCAAGCATTTCTTAACCTGGCCGCGAGAAGAATGGTGGCTTGTGTGATGCGAAAGGCAAGAGCTTTCCTTCTGCCTGTCTCTTTTGAACCTCAAGGTGAACGGGGGAAATCCCTGAATCTGGAACCCTCCAGGGGTGGCAGAGAGCAATCCTTACGTTCTCCCTATCAGCAGCACAATCAGTGGCTCAGTGTCGAAAAGCTCCAGTTAACAAAACCTTCCATCGTTTTGACTAAGCACATGAACCAAGAGTTTGTATCCAAGCACTTGGCTTGGGAGACCAACAACTGGACTGGCTTTCTTGGGCAATTTTCACCAGGGATTTATTCTCTAAAGGCAAACGTTACTATGACCTGAAAAGAAAGCAGTTTGTAGGAGCAACGCTAAGAACTGAAAACCCTCCGGCCCCCAAGCCCTCCTGCAGAGAAAGACTCAAGGCCAGAAGGAGCCACACCTCACCTCTTGCGTGATGGCGTCGGAGGAGGAAAGGACACGCCGGCGCTTCACGGGGGATTTTTGTTGAGATTCCACAAAGGCACGGTAGGTCATGAGCTGCAACTCATACTCCTGAGAGGGCAACAGGACAAAAAGGATTCTGGAGCTGCAATAATCTGGGTCCTCATTTTACCCACCTCAGAAGGATGGAAGGCTGAGTCATCCTTGTTGCAAAGGACTTGATTAATTATCAACTATGGTAACAAACTACTCAGTGGAACTGCCTGATCTAATTTCTTTCAAAAGATACAAGGCAGCACAGAAGATCACATGAAACATTTCTACTTTGGATGCACACAACAAAATATTTAATATGAATAATAACAATAATAAATTTATAATATAATTAATAAATATTACAAAATATTATTGAATGTTTTAATCACAATGAATTGCTAGCAATTTCTTTTCTGCCACAGTACAGCAGTGCGCTCATGCCTTGTTTATGGAAAAGATCTAAAATAACCTTCCCAAATGCCCACAGCTATTTCAGAGCCAGCCTCAGGTTTGCCAATCTCTGTCCCAGCTAGTTCTGCATTCTGTGTCTTTGTATTGCATGCTCCTAGAAGATATATGTTACCTTGACAGCAATTGAATATTGCTGAGACAGTTTCTGACACTGGTCCAGATTGGCTTGATTTGCTTCTATTTCAGCAAACAGTGCCTTAAATTCAAAATAAAAAGCAAAAGTCAAAATCACAATTACAAGCAAGATGCTTTTCTGCCTTCTTCTTCTTCTTCTTTAACTCTATCCACATTTTGGAGCAGAGGGGATATATATCCACAACAACCTGACTCTATTATTAAGCCACGTCTTGTGTTTCCCTTGTATTTTCAGTCTCTTTTGGAGACGAGGCAAACTTTCCTTTTCAATTTATAGCTCTTATTCCAAAGGATATAAGGGCTGGCCAGTTACGTTGGACCAAAAGGCCATGAAATCTAGCATGGAAATCAAACACATTTTCTGTTCTCCATAGGTTAAAAAATTCACAGCAATTGCAACTGTTATAGTGAAAAAATGAGGCATTTGCTGCTAGGGGAGTTATACTATCACAGACCTAGACAAGACAAAGTGCAGCATCTTTGTGTTCACAAATGCTAGAGACATTATTTTCCCAAGTGCCAAGACATTCACGTGGTGACAGGAACCTGGATGAGAATGAGGGAAATTGTAGTTCCAGAGAGAGAGAGAGAGAGAGAGAGAGAGAGAGAAGGTTCGTGCGTCTCTCCATCATCCTTACCATCTGTTGGCTGAGCTGCTCTGAGAGCACCCGGCTGTCCTCGGCTTGTCCAGGCTTCATCAGCTCCTGCTGGGCTGTGGTCTGCTCAATCCACTGGACAAGCGCCCCGTGGCAGTTCCGATAATCCCTGAGAACATCCTCAATATTCTCCAGCTCAGATTTTCTGCCGAGAAATGGAGGAAATGAAGCAGAGGAAAGAAGAAAACACCAACTGATAAAAGATGCTTCAAACATGGTACACTTATAATAGAGCAGTAGAGGGGAAAACTTTTCAGGGACATCCAGAGAGTGTGGTTTTAAAAAAGTCAAGATGATGGCCATGACATACCCATGTTCTTCCCAATTTGACTGTTTTTGACCACACTCTTCAGGCACCCTTTGTCTGGAGTGGTTTGCAATCTGTAAAGGTTTACTACAGACCACACATCAAGAATGCATTTACTTGGTCAGTCAGTTGGCCCAGGTCAGCAGAAGCAGCAATGGACCTGTGTCCTTCGCAAGAAACCCCAAAGAAGTCTCCAGTGTTTCCACTCACTCTGATAGCAAGAGCCACCATCTAAGGAGGCCTCCACAGCACCCTTGGCCCTCTGCGGGGGTCCCTCTAGGGACCCAGAGCTCCTTTCAGTCAGGCTACCTGGCCCTTGGAGGGGGTGGGGCGATTATCCACGGGGCCACGGCCCCCTTAGATTGCCTGTCTGCTCCCTTTAAAAGGACACAAAGTGGCTCTTCCTCCTTCCCCCCGATCTTTCCCCAAAAGTGGCTGTTTTGTGGGTATAAGCCTTACTAATAACACCACTAAGGGCAGGGCAGGAATGAATGGAGAAACGGTAGAGCAAAGATACTCTTAGGGATATTCCACGGACAATGGATAGATTTCCCAGAAAATCAGCGTAGACAGAAGGTAATAACGGCAGTAACATTTATCTAGTGGTCAGCTTCTCTTCTAGAAAAGCTCATGATTGTGCTTGAAACATTTGCGAACCAAAACTCAGAAGAAAATGGGAGCCGTCAAGAGAGAATAGGAACAAAGAGACAGCTTGTATTTTGTCTTTTCACACCAAGAGATAAAAGAGATTTACAAGAAATTAAGCTTAAATAAAAATACTGAGGCAACATTAAATTGATGCAGCATATTAAAGTATCTTGTATCAATTTAAGACTTTAGGACAGGGGTGGGCAAACTTTTTGGCTCGGGGGCCTCATTGACTTTTAAAATTTGACAGACGGGCCGGGTCAGCACAAGATACGATACATATAAAAAACTGCAAAATCTCCTCAAAATCAAGTCACTGCGCCTAATGCGCTACCTGGTGTCGAAATGCCTGTCATTACAAGTCAAAATCAAATGAATGCAATCATTCAATCATTCACATCAAACCTTAATTCTGTACCAATCTTCGGCGGGCCGGATTAAAAAGACCAACGGGCCGGATGTGGCCCGCGGGCCGTAGTTTGCCCACCCCTGCTTTAGGACATTGTTACACTGAAGTTGATATTCAATAATCAAAAGCTGATTTAATAATCATGTCAGAATAAAAATATTAACAAAGTCTTTTGTTTAATCTAAGAATATCCTTATTCAGCTAATCAAAAGAGAACATATTAAAACCTCATGTTAAGAGACATCCAAACGTCACATGTGACAGAATTCTCCACAGACAACTATACAGGTAATCCAAAATAAAATTTGGTCAAGACTATAAGTAGTTTGCCTTGTTTTTGCTATTTTGAATCACGTTGCTGGATTGGAGATACTAAAGCCTGATAAGTGACTCTGAGACTCTCAAAGACCTCCCCTCAGCCCCCTCCTCACCGAGTCTCCATCTGCAGGTTGACTCTTTGCCAGCGATCCCACAGCTGAGCCCGCTTCTCCTGGTAATGCTCCAGGTCCAGGCTGCGCTCCCGCTTCAAGCGGTACAGCTGGTCTGCTACCCGCTTGGCTCTTGCCAAGTCATCCTCCAAGGTTGCAAAGACGGCGCTCTTGGTGTTCACTTCACTGATCCAGTGCTGGAATATTAATGATACACAACAAGGAGAAAGGAGCAAACATGATCAAACTGACCAAAAAACAGACAAGCCACCCTGGATATGGAAACAGGTCATTTCCTGGTGGCTTCTTTCTCAGGTGGGGATTCTGCAGCCGTGTTCCAAATCTTGCTCTGCTTTTCTGCCCTAGCAATCAGCACACATTCGTATGTTGCTACAACACTCCAGAGGACCTGACTTCAATGACTTCTTCCTAAGAATGATACTCCAACCACCTGTCAACCAACCCCACAAGCCTTTGGCTGCTTGGCCAAGAAACCTGGATGCCACCGAGGTCCTCAGACACGTAAGTGTGTTTGTAAGTGTGTTTGCCTTCAATACTGGGGACGAAGGAGAACAGGACAAAGGAAGCCTCGGGACCAACTAAGCCAGCCTGCCTGTCCCCCAGAGCAGGCCAGCCTGACCTGTGTGGCCATATTGTCCCATTTGATTTGGCCCCAGAATGACAAAGGTGGCCTAGAGCAGGGGTCTCCAACCTTGGCAACTCTAAGACTTGTGGACTTCAACTCCCAGAATTCCTCTGGGAGTTTTGCTGGCTGAGGAATTCTGGGAGTTGAAGTCCACGAGTCTTAAAAGTTGCCAAGGTTGGAGACCCCCGGCCTAGAGCACTGTTCGGCAAGAGCAGAGAAAGGCTGGCGTCCCTCCGGCAGACAGAAGGGGCAGAAGGGGGCAACTGGCATTGATTTGTGGCCTTGTGCAAGAGCATCTCAGGGCTACCAACCTGCAAGGAGACCCGGTGGGACTGAATGGCGATGATGTCCGCAGGCACAGCTTCCTCTTGACTCAATTTCACCTCATAGCCTTTCACCAAGGATTCGGCTCCTTGCGTATTCTGAATGATAACATCAACCATCTTTAGCCTACCAGAAGGGAAAAAAGGGAAATGTAACTTCCTGAAATGCGAACAGCTTTTCCCCTCTTGTCAACCAGGAACTATCCAGTCCAGGGTTGCATTGTTGAACAGTAAAAATATAGTGAGAGTCTTTTTCCCTTTCCTCCATCCCCTTCTTGCTCATTGCCACATCTGGAAACTATTGAAAGCCCTTTGAGGTGGCCGGGTCACAAAATGGACACTGTGGAAATTCCAAAAATGCAACTACTTCATTGTTGTAGAATCCATTACCAAAATTTTGAAAACTTCTCTGCCCCCTTGTAAGGATGACACGGTCAGGGCTGAGCTGTTCATCTCTTTCTCGGGCATTCTACTTTTCCAAAGCAAGGCCTCTCTTTTTACCTCTCTTACTATCCCCTTTCAAAGGCAGAACTGAATTCCTCTGCACCACCAAGTTGCATGCAAAGCTTTACATTTACAGGCAAGGAAGGGAACAGCACTGGGCACATCAGGGTGTTATAAGGTTAAGAAACATTTCACAAACACTATAGAAAACAATGAGGTCACTGCTTCAGTGGTGGTATTCTACCGGTTCAGCCCGGTTCACGCAAACCAGTAGTAAAAAAAAAACACCAGCTACTGATTCAGCTGAACTGGTATTTCCCCCCCTCCCAACGATCAGCTGTGCTGGGATCCCCCTCGCTGTCTTACTGCTTTGCCCAGAAGGCAAAAAGGGGTGCGTGGGATGTGTGTGTGTGTGTGTGTGTGTGTGTGTGTGTGTGTGTGCTGCGCCCCCCCCCCCCCCCCCCCCCCTCTTTTTTTTGCCCCCTGGGCCTCAGGGAAGCCTTCTGGGAGCAAAAATGCCTTCCAAGGAGGCTTCCCTGAGGCTCAGGAGATTAAAAAAATGGAGCACGGAGGGGGGAGGGGGCTGGAAAAAAAAGCCATACCCACCTAGTCACTCCCACCTAGCCATGCCCACAGAACTGGTAGCAAAAGTATTTGCATCCCACCCGGCACTGCTTATTTTGTAAAAAGCAGTCTGGGTGCTGGTACTGTATGTCAGGATAGGGCAAGGGAGAGGTAGAAAAACTGGCTGCCTGTACAATTCATGTCTCTCTGCAGGCGCATGGATCCCAGTCAAAATGAAACTGAGACCGATGCCCATTGAATGCTGAGCACAAGGAGAATCTGGCTGGCATTCAGACTTCTCCTATATACATTGGTGTGCATTACGAGATGTTTATTTTGTGTATCAGGCAGAAGGGTGGGTATACCTCCTCTATATTGTTTTAACAGTTAACATGACTCTTAAAGTTGGGCTGCAAATGCCGCCTATCTTTTGCAGCGCACCCAGGGTTCTAGGAATAACTGCAGGGCACCCTGCAAAATGAGTTACGATTCAATACATTTGTTGTTAATAAAGCAAAGCCAAGAGGCAATCCTGTCTTCTATGCCAGCTATTTTTAAAATGCAATCAGAGATTTGTTGTTTTCAAGAAATTGGATTCAAGAGATTTTTCCTGATGGCCCTACAAAAACGGCTAAATTCTCTTGTGATTTCCTGAGCCCATCGGCAGCGCATCTCACAATCAAACAGACTCTCTCTATGTTACATTTTATTTGCAAGCAGCGCAAATCTACTAGGAATCCTCTCTTTCCCCAAACTTTCTTTTTAATAGTACAAAACATCCTAAGCTAGAGGACTCAAGAGCCTGGTGTTCTGCCACTTGCCTGGTTTCTTTTATATGGAAAAACCACAGTTCTCCTTTTGGAATTTAGAGGGAAAATGCCAGCAACTCACTTGTCCAGGTAGACTGCTGAGAGCCCATAGACCTGGTCCATCTTTTCCACCAGCAGGTTCAGCTCAGTACGAAGTTGTGGTGTACTTGACCCTGTGGGAGACTTGTGCAAAAAAATGTGGCATCTCTCAGCCAGTTGGTCCAGGTCGACTCTCAGCTGGTGCAAATCTCCCTTCAGGCGCTGCAGAGACAATAGCAAATCGTGAGCACAAGCGGAATCGCAACACCTCCTTAGCGATCAGAAGAGGAGCAAGAGGCCAGGGACCACAGTGACCTCATCCAAGCTCCTCCACAGCCAGATGCCTGGTGATCAAGTATTTACGGAGGGATCTTTTCGGAGGAGATGCCACCGGCAGAATGGAGACTGTGTCTGGTCTCCATCCATACAGAACCACCTCCTATGCCAACGGTTTCCCAACGGAATCTGAATGAATTTGCTTCTTCCAATCGGCAAGATGAAGAGGAAGCAAAACAAAGAACTGAAGGACATCACAGTTTTGGGTCTCTCTCAGAATGGCCTGCTGTGGTTTGCAGGAAGTCAGGAAACAAAACAGGGATTCATTTTGTGAGCAGTAAGTGCAAGGTTCCCTCTTAAATTCCACCCTGCTGCAGGATGACAGCACAGGACTTCTCTGTCCTCTTACCTAAAGAGAACTGGAACATTGTTCAAGCACGCTGCCACCCCCCGCCCACCCCCGTCATCTGGAAATGCCAACCTCCTGCTCGGCCATTCGGAAAGTGTTTTCCTGCAGAGCATCCCCGTCGGTTCTGGTGCTGCTTGGTGTCCGGATGGTGCCCACCAGCCGCTGCTCACATTCCTCCAGGTGAAGCCGGATGTTCTTGAGCTCAGAGAGGTAAGTCCGAGAAGCGGTCTCATCTTTATCCTCTGCTCATAGATAAAAGGAGTGAACTTTAAATGGGGAACTCAAACGTTTTATAGGTCCATGGCCACATGCCTATCTCCAAGCCACAGCTTCCAGATTGATGTTTACACCCCACCATCTCAGGCTGAAAGGAAGCCAAGCTGGTGGGAAGTAGAGCTGAGCCTGAACCCAGAGTCCCAGGAGGGCCCACTTGACTGCTGAGCTTCTGGTTGTCAAGGGATCTTCATCTTTTTCCCAAAAGAGGCAGAGACAAACCCCTTGAAGCAGCAGCCAAGCCCACAAGGACGATTCTCTGCTGGGGGCACAGGAGCCCACTGAACTAGGCCTCCTGCTCTGAGCTTCCCTGCTCCGCAGGTGAGGGCAGAAGGAACCTGGAGAGGTGACTGGGAAGTCTCACACAACATTTGAACCTTGGGTTCCTTATTGATTTGAACTTTCTGCCAAATTTACTGTTCCTTGTATTCTACAACACTCTTTTCCTCAGAACAGACTGGAGACCTTCACAAATAAACCATGAAAACGATTTCCTATGCAATCACCACAATTAAACTCTCCAGTTCCAATGAACTTCAGGCAGCACTCAAAACCAAACAAATCCATGCAAACAGATAAAACACAAAACTATCAGTCAGCCTTAAATGCCACACCGATATATTGCACTCCCAGCTCTAGGGGCTGCTCTGAACATGGCACTAGGCTCACCGTTTTCCATGGACTGCAGAAGCCGCTGAAAATTCTCTTTGCACGCATCAACTTCTTCCTCGAGGTGCAGCCGATCTGCCAGGGAGAAGATCTCTGAGTCCCGGCTGTCCTCCAAGAAGTCTTCAAAGTGCACCTGCAGGTTCTTCACAGCGTGGTGGCACTCTCCTGGGGCCAGAGCCCGCAGCTGTGAGTCACAAGGAACACAAAGCACACAGCTACATGAGGATCGTGGCACCAGGCTGGGCAGTGGCCAGTAGCCCCAGGGACCACTCCACCTCCAGCCACCTGGAATCTCCAGCCAAGTATCTTCACAGGGGTTTAAGCAACTTATTTTCCCAGACAGTTTCAGAGTAAGTGCATACACTGGCCAAGACTTCTACAATATGGCTGCATATTGATTGGGAACTCTGCACACTGTAGTTAAAAAATGTTGGGGAACATATTAACAATGATATTAATGTACTTAATATTTGATTGAAAATATGACAATGTGTACAATGTAATTGTAATTGAAGACTACGAAATGGAAGCACAAAACAATCTGTAAACCAACCGACACACTGTATGTATATATATATATGGAAGATGGCTTGATGTTTTTATGTTTTGTTTGTCTATGTTTATCTTAAAAACCAATAAAAATGTATTTTAAAAAAAATGTTGGGGAGCAAGTGCATGATGCTCATGGAAAGAACATTAACTTGTGAAGAAGACAGTGGTACTTCATAAATATCTAAGCTAATGAAAAATTTTATTTAAGCTTATTGGGGCAGGGAATTGTCTTCTACGGAAAGCCATTTACTTCTAGTTCCCAGCCCAAAATATCCATTTGCTGTAATGGATTTGTTTAATGACTACAGTACATGTACATAGTTCACTTAATGACCTCCATAAAATCGGGAAGCATCACACGGTGACTCACTTAACCGCCACGATTTAAGACCATAGTTCCAGGCTCAGTTATGGTCGTAAGCCTAGTACAACCTACTTTTAATTTTACTATGAAATCTTTGCTTGCAAGATGACTTTTGAGTCCCCTGCTCTGTCAATCTCCTGCTGCCGCCACACCTCTTCTTTTCATTTTGGAACAGATGCCACCTCAGGTCCTGTCCAAGATCTGCTACTCACAAGACTGTTTCACCCACTATTTTACACTGCTCATCCTTCCTTTCTGCCTTACCGAAAATGCCAGCAACCAACTTTCTAGAGATCTGCATCGTTACCTTCTCCAGGTTCCAACTCTGCACCAAAGCGATATCCTTCCTCAAGTAGTTCCAGGAGACCAGGCTTTTCATGTTGACATGCAATTGGTGCCACAAGGACATCACCTTCTGGTAGAGCTGCTCCACTCTGCAAGAAGAAGGCAAAGCAAAGGTTTCCCTGAGCCTCTGCTCAAATGAGCTCCTGGACCGAGCAGCAGCAGCACCGCATGCCATGAAGCCCTGGATCCAGGGATTCCAAGCCCTCTGCAGGAGCTGATCTCCTTGCCATTACTGTCACTCTACATTTCTCCTTTGACTATCCAGGTTCCCTCCTGGCTCTTTGCCATTGTTATGGGATTTGATGGATACTTAATCAGTTTTCTCTGGCCTTTAACTGGGACATTTCTCCTATTCCCAGCCTGGCCAACTGTCTGCCATTTCCATTAATCAGCTAAATGAGTTGCCTCCCAGAAGTTGTGGGTGCTTCAAAACTGGAAGAGATTTTTAAGAAGAGATTGGACAGCCGTTTGTCTCTGCTTCAGCAGGGGTTGGACTAGAAGACCTCCAAGGTCCCGTCCAATTCTGTTATTCTGTTCTATTGTTCCAACTGTCCCACTCCTGCTTAGCTTCTGAGGTGGACCAAGTTTAGCAAGGTGTGGACACCTGCAGTTGGTTTGCATACACCTGTATTTTATAGCACTGCTCTCAGCACTAATACCTATATCTGTTTAAAAATGTGCATTTAAGTTAAAATGCAAAAAAAAGGTATTTGTACAAGGATGAAATGCACACAAAATACATACTTTCGGAAAAATCTATGAAAAATGTGACTTTTTGTAGGTATTTTAAATGTTTACTTGTAGTTTGATAGGGACTTTATAAATAAGGATCTCTGTTGTTATTATCTAATAGAAGTTAGAAATATGGGGATATAAATGCAGGACAAATGTGATGAAGACGACTTGTTGAAGTAGGTAAGTTAAACATTATTGTTATTAGAGTATTAATATTATTGTGATGAATATCATTGTGAACATTTTGATCATGATTGCTTAAAAATAATTGTACCCAGACAACACACTGTTTGATTGAAATTGATTTTTACATGTTATATAAATCAAAGAAATAAAACATGGGGGGAAAGAGGACCTCTGGGGACTGAGATGGCCTGAAAAGAGACGGATCTACCTATCAGAGGCCGGGGAAGAGAACTTTGCTCTAATGCTCTTCATACCCAACTTCAAAGCAGTAAAAGCATCCAAAAATTCAAAGTAAAACAAAACAAAGCAAAGCAGAAAACAGTTGAGAAAAATATTGCAAAATCTAAACAAAGAAACAAAAGAGAAAAGTTCGTCCTTCTTTGGCAAAAGAAGGAGAAGAAATTCTGAAGTCCTTGCACCAAATGCTGCACCCAGAGCCCTTCCCTGGAAGCGCTCCTCATCTACCACAGAGGAGGGGGAGTCCTGGGGAGGACTCCGCAAAGCTGCTCCAGGGATCTGCCCAGGACCCTGGGGACCTCGGTCCCATTACCTGCTGGCCATTTCGATGGCCTCTCTGTTGGGAGGGGGAACCAAGAAGCAAACCGAGGGCACCGTGGCCTCATTCCCAGCGGGACTGATCACTTTCCACTTGGTTCGCTGAGCGTTGTCTTTCAGCACACACTCGTCGTTGCGGCAGATGGTGATCTGTGGAGGCAACCCAGGTGCTTCTGTAGTCCAGCAGACATTTCTTCTCGCTCCATGAAGTAACCCTCTGATCTTGGGGGCCAAACTGACCCCCCTCCTTTTTAAACAGAAACTTTCCCCAACGTTTCCTGCAGTCTCTCTAGGAAAAGCAACTGCAACATTTCCTAGCAGCTTATCTCAGTGAGGAGATACCAAACTGAAAATAAAGCTTTGCCCACGCAGGGTTATTTTTCTGCAAGATCGAATCTGGTTCTGTCACCGGAACCGAGGTTTGCTCTTCCGAGCTTTCGGACTCCGTGCTGGAGCCCAACTTCAGGGAACGTCTCTCATCCAGGGACTGTGTGCTTTGGTTATTCCTCTCTCTCTCTCAGCCCTCCCTAATAAGGCATTTACCAAACGCTTCTCCCTGCAGAATGATATCCTGGACCTGAGTTGGCATATTACAAGGCTGCACAAAAGCCCAAGGGTGGATTAATGGAGGGAATCCCAAAGAACCATGGTTTAGGAACAAGCTAAAGTTCTGGGAAGCTCCAGGCTGATGCTAGTACTTCAACGTTTGGCTTTGCAAAGTAACCGCTTAGCGCATTGGGAGAAGCAAAAAAGAGGCTTCATCAGAACCTACCTGTAAAACCTCAACCTTTTTCTCCTTTAAAGCCAACAGAGGAAGTACAGGTAGTCCTCGACTTACAACTGTTCATTTAGTGCCTTTTCAAAGTCACAATGGCACCAGATTTACGATCGGTCCTCTTGGTTCAGGGGTCTCCAACCTGGGCCACTTTAAGACTTGTGGACTTCAAAGCAAAGCTGGCTGAGGAATTCTGGGAGTTGAAGTCCACAAGTCTTAAAGTGGCCCAGGTTGGAGACCCCTGTCTCAGTTAATAACTGCTGTAGCATCCCCAGGGTCGCAGGATCAAAATTGGGGTACATGGCAAGTGTGGCCATAAGTCGAGGAATACCTGTATGCAGAGCCTTATCATTATTTTAAGTCACCATTAAGAATGCAGCAAGAGACTCGTGACTGCTGTGACTGCAGGGAAGGAACCCTTGGATACAAGTCACTGGGGACGGGGAGGAGCTGGGCTGGCTAAGATGCTGAAGGTCTGAAAACAGGGACATTCTGAATACCAACCCCCACATTATTCCTTATCCGGGAAATTCCCAAGCCCTCCCAAGTTTTCCTTCAGCTGCTGTTGCTGACCTCAATTTGGCGGTAATCACAAGCCGCCTTCACGGAGATGGTGCTCTTCAAAGGACTCTCGGGGTTCCGGGGCTTCAGCTGGACGATGCTTTTGGACCTTCCCACTAAGCTGCCCACGGAGCTCTTGGACTGGATGAGCTGCTCCTTTTCGTCCTGCTCAAAAGAAAAGCGAGGCGATGGTGGTGAGGAGGGCGAGGGAGAGAGGCAGCCACAGCAAGGGGACCCCCCGCCAGCCCCCCAAAAGACACCAAGCTCCTACCGGAGCCCCTCGCCTGCCATCTGGGGAGAGCACTTTGCCAGGGGCAGGAGCGAGAGGGGGCATGGACAGAAAGCCACCAGCCAGCCCCTCTTCCATTCTCTTCTGGCAAGAGGCTCATCCTCCAAGCCCCCCACCAACCTGGGAGCACAACCCAGAACCCCAAGACGAGATTACCTGAGCAACAAGACCCAGACCTACTGTCTTTATTGAAGAAAAAAATGCTTGATTTTTGCAAAATAAAGAAATGGAGGCAGTGGCAGAATTGTGCAGAAAGATTGTTCAGGAAGATTGATGCATTGACTGAAAGCAGTTTAAAACCTGGCTGAGACAATGCTGGGGAAATGCTGGTAGGTGGGAAGATAGTTGAAAGAGATAGATAGATAGATAGATAGATAGATAGATAGATAGATAGATAGATAGATAGATAGATAGATAGA